GTTCAATGGCATAAGCGCCTGCCTGGCAAGTGCAAGGGTCTGAGTTTGATCCCCATTACCAAAAAAAAGTAAACTGAAAAGTTGAGATTTAAGATTTCACAGTGACTATAATTGTGATTTCAATCAGATGACTGTGATGATCTAAGAGACAATTATCTTTATAATTTATGACCCTCATGGACCAAATTTATTTTAGTGCAATCAGCAGACATTCTTTATTGATAATGAGAAGGATGATGTTAGATCACACTGGGCCTCTTAGTAGCTCTGAGACCTTGAGCAAGTTATTTAATGTCTCTGTGCCTTGGTTTGCCCACCTTTAGGATGAAGAGCAGAGCCATAGTTCTAGCTCCTAAGAACTGTTGTGAGAATTAAAGGGACATATCTAAAGGGCTTGGCCTGATCTTGGTCTGAAAAATTTCCCAACAGTTAATATCACCAAATTGAAAGAGTAGATACTCTGCTCATCATTTTTCCTTGGGAATAAAATGTTAAGAATAGTTATAAAGTCAAGCAGTATAGGGTTAAGATACTAGGTGGCAAGTTGCATTTCAGTAGGGTCTCTTGCAAGCTGGATGCTTGCCTGAAAGCATTGAACACCCTACCACTCAAGACATTCCTTCTGGGGCTAAGGGTGGGGTCTAGTCCTGCACAGCTGGTCCTCCCTAAATATTCCACAGAGTGGTCTATGCACTTGGAGCATGCCTGGAAGGGGTAACAGAGCCTGAAATGCAATCTCATGCTGCACTGTCAGAGGCCCTGCTGCAAGACCAGTCATCTCTGCCCTGGTCTTGCTGGCCTAGAAGAAGGTCTCTAGGAGTGCCAAAGAGAGGTGACCCTGATGTGGCCTTCTCCACCAGCCTGATGACACCTGATCTTTCCTCACCCGTTGCAATAGCAGGGAAATCAAAGTCCCCTTGGCTACCCCGGGAAATGCGGTGCTCACTGACACCCTGAGTGAGGTGCTGCTGCTGCTGCTGCTGCACTCAGAGCACACTGCCAGCACGCTCGCGGAAGGCCCGGCTGAGCTCAGGCGGGGTGCGAAAGCTGCTCTCCAGGACCCTTGAAAGTTCTCTCTGTCCTGAGGGAGCAGGTGCTGCCATAAACAAGTAGGGCTCCCCAGTGGGAGCAATCCACAGGGCCGTCTCTGCAGGTGGAGAACATAGGCGGGAGTAGGTGGCAGTGAAACACTGGCCCAGTGCTGCCCCTCCACCTGGAGAGAAAAACAAATTGGAATGAAACTGATCTGGCCCTCTGAGAGCTAGTGGCTGGCCATCACTGCCCCCTCTTAATCCTGTCCAGGCCTTTTCCAAAGAATCTACACATAAAAAGTGGGCCTTTTGTCCTTCGTCTCACTCTCCACAGCCAGGGTTACTTCTCACCAAGACAAATTAAAGAAGAAATCAACCATGGGGTGATGGGGCTGACTTTCAATAATAGGGACTCTCATCGCCTTGAAAGGCCTCACAAACCACCCACTATGGGTTCCCCCTTGTCCAATGGCGCAGGCAAGTACATTGACGATTCTCCTGAATGTTCCACAAAGTGCCAGAGAGCATTTTAAGTCTGAAGTCCTCATAGCAGCCAGGAAGGACTAGTGTTATCCTCATCTTCACACCGCTACAAGGGGGAGAGCCAGACCACCAGCCCCTGGAGTCCGGCTCCAGAGTGTTCCCATCTAGAAAACAAAAATGACTATGAGCATGAGGAACGAATGGCCTGCTAACCCAACAGATAGCGGGCCTCCCTCATGCACACCCCCTGTTTGTCTTCCTCCCCTCCACTCCTCAAGGCCTCCAGCAGCTAAGACTCCTGAGGGCTGTACCAGGTCTGCAAAAGAAATCATTTTTCCTGGCTCTGGTTCTATGCTAATAGATGATGAAATAAACTGCCTTTTTTAAAAGATACTCACAATAGTAATTCCTATGTAAGTCCGCACCAGAAACCCATGTTTGAAACTCCTTAAGACTCTGCCATGGGATGTAGCCCAGGAGGTATCACAATCCTGAGGCCTCAGTGGCCTGTGAGATTTAGGATACACAGGAAGATCAGAGGGACCTGCAGGGGTAAGGATGAGTGGAAAGACTCCAGGCGCCCCAGGCCCCAAAGGGACATATTTGTTTGCTAGAGGGTGGTTCCTGACTCCACACTTTGCTGCTATCAAGCTCTCCAATATTGTCCCTCACCGTAAACAGCCCGCTGCTGCAGGATCTCCTCACACGGGCACCAGAGGTGGGAGCCATTGTGCGGTCCAGGGACCTCACGAGCAGCAGCTGCACCACTGAATGTGCACTGCTGCGGGGCCATGTGCTATGTGCCTTTCAGGCTTAAAAGAAACCAGGCGTAGCTGGACAAGGAGTGAAAAAGCATCCCAGACACATCTGCAGGTGATGGAAGCTGGTCCCTCTGCTTAACATTCTGGAAGCTACACAGTTCCTAAAAGTGACAAAATGGACTTAGGATCTCTTTAAAGTGGAAAAGAGACAGAATAACACAAGTCAATGATGCCAACCAGTATTCTCAAGTCGTAGAGACTCAAGAGAATGGTTATTAGTTATGAAGATTTATTCATTAACCTGCCAATTCAAATTTTGTCCCTTAGTTTAGTAATATATTATTTCCTTAATTCTTGGTTTTCTGGGCAAAAATTCTTAAGTCCTTTCATGGGTATCATTCAAACATTATCATCCATCATTTCCACTGCTGATTTTTACTTAAATTAACCCCATAAGAAAGTCCTCAGAGAATATGAATACAAGTTGTGTATACGGGTTAAGTTACACACATGAAAAGATTTCTGTGGGATGTATTTTTTTTAATGAGAACACATTGTTATACTCAGATTATTGGCATTCTTGCTTAATAGAAACATTAATAAGAACACATACACATTTATGTCCCAACACCAAATAAAGTAGATACTTTAAATGCACCAGAAATAAAATATATTATACAAAACAGGGGTTATATCCACAGTCATTAATTCTTAATTTCTACACAAAACAATAAATTAAATCACATTATATGCAGATAGTTCTACTTACATTAGAATAATAAATTGCATCTTGCACAACTTTTATTTTTATTTTTACTTTTCTACCAGACTCATGATAAGTTTGCATTGTTTGGTAGTCCTATATTTAAATTAACAGTGAATAATACGGCCCAAAAGACAAGCACATGGAATTTATCCTCCACAATTTAACCCATCTCCTCTTGGTTTTAATAATGTGCAGGGAACAAAGCTCTAATTCCCAGGACCCAGCATAAACACCCACAAATTCACAGCCTTTTTATGCTGCTGAGGGACATTTCATTGCTGTCTTATAAGATACATGACATTGAACATTTTCAGATCTTAACATTGAACAATAAATATGACAACCCATTTCAAAATCCTAATTTTCCCTTCTTAGTTTTCTTCATCCAATAATAATTTTTTTTTGTAACAGCAACAAATTGGTAGTTTGAGTCATGACTTACGCTTGGTAAGTGGCCTTTTGCTCCTTATGTATTAAAATGTTGGCCTTACTAGGAAACATGACAATGTCAAGCCATACAGTTATATGTGGAGGATGAGCAAGGCAATGATCCTGAGAATCTTCAGAAGATTTTTTAATCTAGCAGTTGATTGGAAAGATTCTCACCCTGACTAACTATATATACTGATACCTGTGAAC